TCTACCACTTGAGCCACAGCACCACTTCCGGCTTTTTTCTTTTTGCTTATGTGGTGCTGAGGAATTAAACCCAGGGCTTCAGTCATGCAAGGCAAGCGCTCTACCACTGAGCCACCTTCCCAGCCCTCAAGATACACTTTTAAAAAAAAAGAGTATATGATTACATTTCAAAGAAAACCAAGTATGCAATTGTTTTTGCCTTTTTAGCTTTATATTCCATCCATCTCCAAACTATTTTTAATATTTTTGATCTCCAGTGAAAGCACTAGCTGCTGCAAACTTTCTTAAATTACAACAGTGCAAACATATACTCTAATAATCTCCAACAATGTCTTAAACTTCAACAAGTTGGAAAGCATAAGCCTGCATATAAAGAAATCCTATTAATTACAATAAGACTTTAAAAGAAAACATGAAAAGACACACCACTTACAGAGTCATGGGTGAGGTATGTGTCGCAGTAGTCACAATAAAACCTAGAAAGAAACGGAAGAGAAAAAAGATGCTGACCAGTTAGGAGATGCCCATTCACAGACGCGCTATTCGCTGACGGTTGACAAAAGTCACTGAGCGACTCAAGACTCAAATCAAAGCGTCCGACAAAAACTAGGCTTTTCTGCGGCCTCAGAGCGGTCGTCCCCCACCCACCCGCTAGCCGGGGTATCTGCAACTTCCGTTCTCCCGGAGGAACCCCACCTTTCCCTCCAGGTTTCATGAGCCAGATCCGCCCTACGACCCTCTCTTGGGGCTCCAAATAATAAGTTCCGCCGCCCCCTCCAGTTGTAGCCCCCGACTTACTTGGGCATGTTGCTGTGTGGGCCGTTGCCTCCGTGCCGCGCCGCCAGGAAACCACGTAAAAACCAGGCGTCGACGCCTAGAAAGTGACGGAAATAACGCGACGGCTCTAGGAGAAGCCCAGTATATCCGCAAGCCTAGGAAGGGCGGGACTTCCGCTTTCCCGTTTACCTACCGTAGAGCGGGAAAGGGGAGGACGACAGGTCCCGACGAGATTCGAGCAGCTTCGGGACCCCTGGTTTTCATTCTCAACTGCCCTGAAGGGTCCTTGCCTACTCGCTTCTATAAATGACTTAAAAACAAACAAACAGCAGTAAGCCCTCATCGGTGGCTCACTCCTGTAATCCTGTCTATCCAGGGGGAGGCTGAGATCTGAGGACCGCGGCTGGAAGCCAGTCAAGTCTATGAGACTCAGCTCCAATTACGCACCAAAAAAAGTCAAGCCGTGGCTAGTACTGAGCCCCAAAGTTCAAGGACAGCTCTCAGACCTTGAGTTCAAGAATCTGACACACACCCAGGACGGGCACACACACAGAGTTCACTAGAAGGTAAAAAATAAAGCGATATATAATAACAGTGAGAAGATAACATACAGCAAAATAAAGCCAAGTGCAAATTGTTTTACATTTCAAGGCTTACCCTGTCTCACTGTGGTATTCAAGAAGAATTATATATGACAATGCTTGTGAAATGTTAGTATGAACAAAGGGTGAACAAATTCAACAGTGGTACTCAGGCTCTGTGGAAAATAAACTATGCAACTTGAGGGCAGGAATAGGAGGAGAAATCTGAGGGAAAATAAAGGGTAACATTTTCCAAAAAAGTATGTACTCATTACCTGACTTAAAAATGATAACTCCACTATATATCACCTTAATGAAAACATTTAAAAAAAAATCTCCCAGCACCAGTGGCTCATGCCTGTAATGCTATCTACTCATGAGACTGAGCTCTGAGGATCTTGGTTTGAAGGTAGCCTGGGCAGTAAAGTTTGGAAGATTCTTTTCTCCAATAAACCACTCAGAAAAAGCTGTAGCTCAGCCTGGTGCCAGTGGCTCACGCCTGTAATCCTAGCTACTCAGGAGGCTGAGATCTGAGGTTCACGGTTCAAAGCTAGCCCGGCCAGGAAAGTCAGTGAGACTCTTATCTCCAATAAATTACTCAAAAACCAGAAAACCTCTGTGGCTCAAGTGGTAGAGGCTCGCCTTGAGCTGAAGAGTACAGGGACAGCGCCCAAGCCCAGAGTTCAAGCCCCATGAACAACAACAACAACAACAACAAAAAGCTGTGGCTCAAGGGGTAGAGCTTTAGCTTAAACACAAAGAAGCTCAGGGATAGCCCTCAGGCCCTGAATTCAAGCCCTAGACTGGGGAAAAGAAAAAAAAAAGCTTAGGGACTGCAGCACCCAGGCCCTGAGTTCAAGCCCCATAACCAACAACAACAACAAAAATCCAAAAACAAAAAGTTTAGTATGGCTGGGAGTCAGTGGGCAGGAAAGTACGTGAGACTCCTTTTTGTCATTTTTGTCTTGTTTTTTTTTTGTTTTTTTTTGTGGGTCATGTGGCTTGAACTCTAGGCAAGTGCTCTACCACTTGAGCCACAGCACCACTTCAGCTTTTCTGGTTGTTAATTGGGAATAAGAGTCTCACGGACTTTTCCTGCCTGGTTTGGCTTTGAACCTCGATCCTCAGATCTCAGCCTCCTGAGTAGCTAGGATTACAGGTGTAAGCCACCTGCGCCTGGCATGAATGTGAGACTCAAGTACAAGTAACCACCAGAAAACCAGAACTGGCACTGTGGCTCAAGTGGTAGAATGCTCACCTTGAGCCAAAGAGATCAGGGACAGCACCCAGGCCCAGAGTTCAAGCCCCACAACCAAATGGTAGAATGCTCACCTTGAGCCAAAGAGCTCAAGGACAGCACCCAGGCCCAGAGTTCAAGCCCCACATCCAAAGAAAAAAAAAGTTTAGGGTTCACCCTAAGCTAAGTACTTGTCTCTTTTTTTTGGTGGCATGAGCCACCTTTGCCTGGCTTCTCCCACTCCCAAATCTGGTACCCTAACATAGGGAACACTTTAAAAAGTTCTCCTAAGTTGAATCAGATGCCAGATGATGATAAACAGCTCTAGCTGGTAGAGGTAATTAGCAATCTTCGGCCTACTCTATCCTGCAGATGAAATCAACCAGGTGACTTTCCAACACCCTGGGTTTCTGAAGACATCTAAGCCAGGCAAATGAAAAGAACACTGGGACCACCATAAGGGTGCCCATCTGACACCACATGGTGACAGTAGACACCATCCTTCTTTGCCTGGACAGGTGAAAAAAGAACTATTCATTAATTCTGCTATGATTATTTTGCCTCCCTACAGTAAACAGAGGATTTGCTGCTAAGAATAGAAGAGGTCAAAGTCCCAGGGCCTGGAGAGTATGTTGGTTTTTGAACCTCTTTATTAATCTAAAGCTGTCAGACCAACAGGTTGTGGCATCAGGAAGAAGCTAGACTGGCACTAATCACCAAAGCAGAAGAACAGGTTTGGCAGCGAGGCTTTGAGTAGTTCTTTACTGAAAAGGAGTTATTACTCTTGAAATGCCTTTTTTTTTTTTTACGATAAGTATGGCTTTTTTCTCTGAGTTCATTTTATTAGCAAAGCATATGTATCTAGTCTTACTCTAGAGGTGTCAAGCTGAAAAGCTGGAGGCAGAAACATAAATGGCCTGACCTCTTGATAATGCAACACTCCTGCAGAAGATAGCATTGTGGTCAGCAATCACACACACACACACACACACACACACACACACACACCATTCTGCTGCCCTCAGGCATATTGTCCTTTGTTTGTTTGATGCCAGTATTAGCGCTTGAGGAGCTGGGAAGGTGGCTCAGTGGTAGAGTGCTTGCCTTGTATGAGGCCCTGGGTTCGATTCCTCAATACCACATAAGCAGAAAAAGCCAGAAGTGGGGCTGAGGCTCAAGTGGTAGAGTGCTAGTCTACAGCTGAAAAGCTGAGGGGCAATGCCCAGGCCCAGAGTTCAGGCCCTACGACCAACAAAAAAAAGAAAAAGAAAAAAGGACTTGATATCAGGGCCTGGGCACATCTCTTATCTTTTTCACTCAAGGCTGGTGCTTTGCAACTTGAACCACAGCTCCATTTCCAGCTTTTTGTTGGCAAACTGGAGACAAAAGTCTCAAAGACTTACCTACCTGGTCTGCCTTTGAACCTGGATCCTCAGATGTGAGCCTTCTGAGTAACTAGGATTATAGGCATGAGACACTAGCACCCAGTAAGGGCATTTTTATTTTTAGTGGCTTGGCTTTTCCTGAGAGAGAAGGGAAAGTAACATGTACTAAGCACATGGTTGGTGTCAGAACTTTTTTTTTGTCTGTTGTGGGACTTGAACTCTGGGCCTGGGTGCTGTCCCTCAGCTCTTCAGCTCAAGGCAAGCGCTCTACCACTTGAGCCACAGCACCACTTCCAGTTTTCTGGTGGTTAATTGGAGATAAGAGTCTCCTGGACCTTCAGGCCAGGGCTGGCTTCGAACCACAATCCTCAGATCTCAGCCTCCTGAGTAGCTGGGTTTACAGGCATGAGCCACAGGTGCCCGGCTTGGTGTCAGAACTTTAAGTCCATAAGTGTACTTTTATTATGTTATCTGATGGAATTTGAAGTCTTTTGTTTGTTTTTGTGATTGTGTGAGTGTGGATGTATGTGGATATGTAGACATATGCATGATTGTGCATATATGTGATACGTGAGTCTGAGGGTACATGACTGTTCATTTGCATGAGTGTATGGATGTGGAGCTGTGCATGAGTGTGCAGGCCAAGCATGAGCATATGTGCTATGTGCAAATGTGTGTGCACGTGAGATCCAAGAATACAATGTAATCTGAACAAAATCATATAGGTATAAGTGGCAAAGACAGGATCTGAGCCCAGACAATAATGTTTGTATGCATAAGTGTACATGAGCGTTTGTTCATGTGGGTGTCAGTGTGTGTACACATGAATTTGTGCATGTGTTTATGTATAAGTTTGTGCAAGTCTATATGTACTAGTCTATGTGCATGAGTTTTAAGTGCAAGAGCATGAATATGCATGTGTAGGTATGTGTGGCTTATGCATGAGTATGTGTGTGTTTATGTGTTTGAGTGTGTTCATATGTGCTTGTTGGTATGCCTGCTAGTGTGTATGTAGACATATGTGTGTTGCATATGTGAGAATGTGTGTGGATTTGGCCTCCACAACCAAAGAACACATTTTGAAATAGCTCACTCCTTTGTTCTTAGAACAAAGGAAGTATCTCATGATCATTATGCACGGTACTCCATGTCTTTTAGCTTAATTAAAAAAAAAACACCTTGGGCTAGGAATGTGGCTTAGAGGTAGAATGCTTGCCTAGCATTCATGAAGCCTTAGGTTCAATTCCTCAGTACCACATAAACAGAAAACGCCAGAAGTGGCGCTGTGACTCCAGTGATACAGTGCTAGGCTCAAGCAAAAGCAGCTCAGGGACAGTGCCCAGTCCCTGAGTTCAAGCCCCAGACTGTCAAAAAACAAAAACAAAAAACCTCATCTTGGTGCTGATGGTTCACACCTATAATCCTAGCTACTCAGGAGGCTAAGATTTGAGGATCAAGATTCAAAGCCAGTCCAGGCAGGAAAGTCTGTGAGATTGGGGCTGGGAAGATGGCTCAGTGGTAGAGCGCATGCCTTGCATGCCTGAGGCCTTGGGTTCAATTCCTCAGCACCACATAAGCAAAAAGAAAAAAGCTGGAAGTGGCGCTGTGGCTCAAGTGGTAGAGCGCTAGCCTTGAGCTGAAGAGCTG